TACTCATAGTCGTGCATGCCGTAGTCGTTAGACCATTGACCTCGCATCCCTACAAACCCGGGACGGAGCACGCCGGGTTCTCTGACCGGACCAGGCTGTCACATCAACGAGGGCGCCAAGGGGCGGGGGGGGAGTACTCATGTCAACGCAAACGGTAAATACAGTAGTGGTTAGACCGTTCACCTAGCATCCTAAAATTCCCGGACGGAGCGATATGCTAGGTTTTCGCCGGCCCAGGCTACATTTCATCATTGTTACCGAAGCTGGTCATCATCCTTGAATTTTCCCGAATGCTATTGCATCTCGGTAGGCACGACGCTTCGTGTGTGATACAATTAAAGCATATCTGCGCATATACTAAGATGGAAAATCGTTTGCTGATCGCTTCAGGGGCCAGATGGAACCCGTGCGGAAAAAATTGAGTATTTTGGATCTGGGCGTAGTCTTGAAACGTTATGCTGGATACCACCGCCGGGTGCGGCCTTGCGTGTGTGATCCTTGTGGCGCACACTAGTGCTGTAGTTGATAGACAAGGCAAGTCAAGGCATCCAAAAAGACCCAGACAGGGGCTACGCACAAGAGACCCCAAGGACCATGAGAACCGATGTCAAAACTGGGGTGCCGGGCCTGCGCATGCGGGAAGGCAACGTCTAGCACCGGGTGTCAAGCATACGGCGGTACCTCGTCCTTGTTACAAGTGTTGTTTCCATACTCCTCCTCGATGGACCGGGTTGTCATCGTCTGCCGTGTAGGAGAAAAAGACAACAACAACAACAACAACAACAACAACAACAACAGCAACGCGAAAAGAAGAGGTGTAGTCGGTTTTCGTGAGGAGCAAGGGTTCTACGCGGGCAGTGACTTGGTATCAGCTTTCGGAAGAGGGGTTAGAGAGCACGGTGAAGCAGGCGAAGAGGTTGTAACAAATCACGACAAGCGGCGGGAAGACGAGAGAGGCGGGGAAGGGGATCTCGAAAGAGCAAAGTGAAGCCCGTGCAGCAGCACGAGGGCAGAAACAATGGTACTCAACAAGAAACAACGGCAATTCAAACAGACAAGACAGTGCAACCGCCATTCAACATCAACAACCACCACGGCAACAACGGCACCAGCAGCAGTAGCAACAACGGCAGCAGCAGCAGTAGCAACAACGGTAGCCGCAGCAGTAGCAACAGCAGCAGCAGCAGAAGCAACGGCAGCAGCAGCAGCAGCAACAGCAACAACGGCAGCAGCAGCAGTAGCAACAGCAGCAGCAGCAACATCATCAACACCTCAACAACAACTCAACAACAGCAGACACTGCAACCTACCACCACCAGCAGCAATAACAGTAACCAGGAGGAGGACGACGTTGAGGAAATCAGTCCATCGTATCCAGCCCACCCACCAAGAGTTTCCTAGCGTTCTTGCAGAAGACCTCCGTCTCTTCTCTCGGCACGCTGCCCCTTGGCCTGCCGGCACGGGCAAGCCCCTCGTCCAGCAACGCCGCCACCGCCGCCGTGTCCTTCGCCGCCTTCGCCTTGTACAATCCCTGAAAAAAAATAAAATCTTTCTTGAGCCTGTTGGGGCCGTTTTAAACAGAGCACTTTCTTCCAAATATTTGGAATGTTTCCAAATTTGGAAATTTTGCGCGGCGAGCTCGAAGGCAAAACTTTGGAAAACTTTCCAAAAAATTGGGAGCCACCATTCCAAAGTTTTGGGGCCCTCGTCGCTTCCAAAATTTTGGAAAAAAATTCCAAAGTTTTCGATTACTTTCAAATTATCGAAACTTGGAAATTTAGAAAAAACAGCCATGATCAAAACTGCCCTTAGACGCAGGGGAGATACCACTTCTCGGGGGAACATGGGTAGTGTCCCCCCGCTTATGCTACATGGGTTCATTGCCAATTTGTCCTGGATTGAATCGTTGTGATATATGGACAAGGAAACAGACCAAGGTATCGGGGGAGTAGGCCGGCCACAAGGGAGAGGAAGGCGTTACGTTCTGATAGCACCCTCAACAAGAACGATGCAAGCAAACGTTCGGGGACACGTGAAAACCAGCGTCAGGGGAGGGAAGCTCCGAGTCGAGGGAGTCCGTCTGGATATGCTTCCCAGCCCAGCCGTAGTAGTAGCTGCTGTGGTTTGCCATCGGGTGCAAAAACGAGAGCGCAACCACTTCCGTCCGTCGTAGCCCAGAGGTCACTATCAATGCAACCGAAACACGAAAGAGAAAAAACACGCGATAACGACACAAAAGGCTTTCAGATGTCTAGATTAGCACCACTCTTGTATCTATAGGGGTTTTGTGTCCCCACCTGGAGGGTGATGAAGCTGTCTGTGTCCGACGTCATGTCCGGCACCTGCCGCAGACACAAGGCGGCGGCAGGGTGGGGGTGACTTGGATACGCCTTGGACAATAAACGTTCAGAACAACACCAACGGTGTCCCGTTGTCCTCCAAAAGCTCTCTCTCGCTCCCCTTCTCCTATCCACGCCGGGGTCACAACACCATCAAATAATACCCATACAAGAGGATATGCCACTGCTTTGTCCAGCATCACCCCCTCATGGATCGCCATGGCATACCTGGTTTAGCACAGCACACGCAAGGACGATGATCAGTCAGCTTCTGATTCCGGCGAACACCCGGTACACATATCGCTCCGTCCCGGCATTGAAGAGATGCGAGGTCAATGGTCCATCGACTGCACGGCATGCGCTCACACCAGTACACCCCCCCTCCTTCTCACCTCGCCACTAAGCGGGGGCAAACCGCCGCCTTCTCCCTTCACGAACTCCCCCAGCGCGCGTGCCAGCAGCCAGAAATTCGACGTCTCCGGGCCAACTTCCATCGCCTAAAGGGAGCAAGATGAAGAAATTCGACACCGGAGAACGTGACAGTAAAAATGCAAAGACGTTTTTTTGGGGGGGAGGAGTTCATCAAGGCAGACGATGGAGCCGCCGTCCACGGGAAGATGCTGATATTGAAGACAAAAAAAATGAGAGAAAAAATGGCAAGGGGGTGGGGGGGGGTGTACTCATAGTCGTGCATGCCGTAGTCGTCAGACCATTGACCTCGCATCCCTACAAAGCCGGGACGGAGCACGCCGGGTTCTCACCGGACCAGGCTCTCACATCACCAAGCGCGAAGCGCCGTGAGATATTCGGCGAGTCGCATGAAGGGTGCGCTGCATCCTGCTAAGGGTGTTCGGCATCTTGTGCTTACTTCCTTGCGTACGGACGACAGCTGCGTATGACTTCATTTTACCGCCAAAAAAAAAAACGGAGGTAAAAAAATAAACGTTAACCTGGTTGCCGAGTTCACCAAGTGAATTGGCTTATTTTACAACGGCGTTGCCAAGCGACGAAAACCCAATCCCGATGGCAATCACC